CTCCTTCTCTCCAGACCACCACTCCCGGCCCCACTGTGAGAGCTGTCGGCACTGTAACTCCGGTGAGATGGTGAGGGCGTGAGGTGGTGACACTGCACCAGCATTTGGGGGAGCAAGGCTGGTGGAGCTGGGTTTGGGGGAGCGAGGAGGATGGCAGTCGGGACTTCAGCCTTCTTCAAGGCTCACGGCAGGTGGAGCCAATGCTGGGAAACGGGGTGCCTGGGCAGGGCACACACTGCCGTGGGGAGAAGCCTAGGGTTTCAGGGAAGGGGATAAGCAGAATGTGAGGGATTGGTGAGAATGGGTCAATGAATAGGATCGAGGCAATAAAAAGACGCAAGTGGCTCTGGGACCCCAGATTTCAGACAAGCAACCCCCAACCAATAAACCGGCTGTGTTCCCAGAGTGCGCAATGTACGTTGGCTGTTTGGGACTTGGAACACATCTTTCCAAGGAAATGACAATATAAACCAGTAGGTAACAACCTTTTTTTACACAAAAGCCAATTTGGGAGTCTGAGTATGTATGTGGCCTGTGCTTTTACTTTGTAATTCTTTTTTAAAATTAAGAAGTATAATGTGTGCGGCTGTGCTTATGAACTCTATTATTTCTCCATCTTAGCTACGATTTCAGGAACTATATGCCAGTATACGCTAGAATAGCAGGCTTCAAAGTGGCCCCTTTGAACAAATGCTCTCCGGCGAGACACTTTTGAGAACTACTAAATTGTAATTACTAAACTACTTGTAAAAAGTGTTTGGTCTCACTAGGTCTTTTAGTAATGTACTCTTAAAAAGGGGGGTGGGGGTTGCCATTGTAAGTCAGCCAGAGAGCAACATCTTTAATACACAAGAAATACTCCTCAGTCCACTTAACTCAAAAATGATTGTTGATAGACACTTTTCTCTTGTTGGCAGCAGCCTCAGCAGGGCTGGAATTGTTTGGCCAAAGCCTCCCCACTTGCTCTGCAGGCCCCGCCTGAAGGCCTTAGCCCCGCACTGAGCCAGGCATCAGTCCCTTCACTATGTTCCAGACCAGCCCGACCCATGACCCTTCTCAGTGAGACCCAGCAATAGATCCCAAAGTCCTCCGGCAGCACCTGGCTGCAGAAGGACCCCAGGGGACTGCGGCCAGAGGTGAGGTGAGTAGAGGAGGCCACATGAGTGTGGCCCTCTCTGGACCTCAGTACTTGCATCTGTGAGGTGAGGAAGTGCCTGAAATCCAGCTGGAATTCTGAGCACAGGTTATTCATGGCAAATAGAACCCACAGGTCTCTGGATGCTCATCGCTGAAAACAATGGCGCTTCACGCCTTTTTTTTTTTTTTTTTTTTTGAGACAGAGTCTCACTCTGTTGCCCCGGCTAGAGTGAGTGCCGTGGCGTCAGCCCAGCTCACAGCAACCTCAAACTCCTGGGCTCAAGCAATCCTCCTGCCTCAGCCTCCCGAGTAGCTGGGACTACAGGCATGCGCCACCATGCTCGGCTAATTTTTTTCTATGTATTTTTAGTTGTCCAATTAATGTCTTTCTATTTTTAGTAGAGACGGGGTCTCGCTCTTGCTCAGGCTGGTTTCGAACTCCTGAGCTCAAACAATCCGCCCGCCTCGGCCTCCCAGAGAGCTAGGATTACAGGCGTGAGCCACTGCGCCCGGCCTCGCTTCACGCCTTTTTAACCACCAGTCCCTTCTTGAGCCTTTCCCAGTGCCTTTTAGCAAATACCCTTTAATCACCCTTCACCACCGTTACTGCCCAGGCTTCCCTTACTCTCCCCTTGCAGATCCTTGTCCAGGCTGGCTCACAATTCCTGGGAAGCCACGAGGGAACAAATTCGAGTAGCAACTCAGAGTCAGAATTCAGGGCGTAGGGGCTCAAGGATGGGAAGTACTCCCTGTCCTGACAAAAGGCATGGTGAAAAATTGTTAGAGTTGATAATGGTCTTCGGCATCCTCCCTTTCTGCACCCCTCTTTCACCTGTCAGGGCTCCTAGGACTCCCTGGGTCCCCACGAGTGTGCTGCCCTAAGGCACACCACGCTCCCATGCAAGCCTGTCCCCCATCCGTGTTGCCACCTCCCTCCGAACCACCCTCCTCTCAACCGCAGCCACCTGTGAGCGCAGCCAGCCTATGCCCCGACACTACCCCGCTAGCATAACTGATTTGCAGCCACCCAGCGCCTGACCCCTGTGCTTGAGTAAAATTTATATTTAAAGGTAAAGGATTCTGTAATCAATTCTCTAATAAAGATAAAAACATACCAGGGATCATAGCAGCACTACTCTTGATTGCTAAAAACTGGAAACTACCCAAATGCCCGTTAATAGTAAAATGGATCAATAAACCATGGTATAGTCATATGATGGGACATCACACAGCAATGAGAATAAACAATCTGCAATTACAGCCAATAATATGGATGAAATTCACAAAGGTTTGAGTAAAAGAAACCAGGCGGAAGTGAGTGCATAGCACAATTCCACCTGTACGGTACAAGAATAGGCAAAGATAATTAATGGTGTTAGGAAGTCAGAACAGTGGCTACTCTTGGGGGGAGAGTGGCTAGGAGGGAGTATTGCTTGTCACCTTCTGTTTCTTGATCTGGTGCTGGTTACACCTGTGAGTCCAATTTGTACAAATTCTAAAGCCTAACACTTACGTGTACCTCTCTAAAATATATTACACTTCAATAAAAAGTTATTAAAGTATCAGCAAGTATAAGAGAAAACTACGTAAGCTCTACTTTTCATAATTTCTTTTTCTGATTCCATGAATCTTGCGAAAGGTCCAACTTTCTTCTTTAATAACAGTGACAATGGCAAAGGCACTGGGTGACAGTGGGGGGGGACGGGCAGCCCCCTGGCGGGGGGTAACGGCAAGGGAAGCATGTCCCTAGAGGTGGACCTGGGATGGGGTTTGGGGGATTCAGTAGTGGACCTTGAAGGTCTCTGAAGGCCTGAGAGTCCTGTGCTTCTTCGGCCCCCCTTTCCCCAGGTCTTCTCATTCGCAACTGCACCGTCACTGCCAATGCCGAGTGTGCCTGTCCCCATGGCTGGCAGTGCAGAGATAAAGAATGCACCGAGTGTGATCCTCCTCCAGGCCTCTGGCTTACCACTCAGCCGTCTCAGGCCCCGGGCCCACACCCTCAACCCACCCACTTACCTTATGCCAAGAGTAAGTTCCAGACAATCCTCTGTCCAATCATTTGGGGGAGGGGTGACACCCCAACCAGCACTCCCCACTCCCACTGCCACCCCCAGATAAGGTCAGCCTGCTCAGACCTTCAGACCCGCATGCCCTGGGGCTCCCTGCTCTACTCCTGTCTCTGTTTCTCCAGAGAAGCCGGAGGCCAGGACCGTCCAGCTGGTGCAGACTGTGGCTGACTTCAGGCAGCTGCCTGCCCCTGCTCTCTCCACCTCCTGGCCAGGTGAGTTTTCTCCCTAATCCCCACCCCAGAGAGAATGCATACAGGAGAGGCCAGGAGGGAAGCCAGTGCAAAAGCTCCTAGGAGTTGGGGTAAGCAGAGTCTAGGATTAGGAGAGGCTTTGGTCCAATGGTGGGGGTGGGGGTGAAGGAGGTAGAGGAAAGGAGAGGGGCAGGGTGACAGGAGGGTGGGGCTGAGGGATCCAGGAGCTAGACTCTCCCCAAAACCCCTGTGTGGCCCTGCCTATCACAGCCCCAAGATCCCTGTGCAGCGCAGACTGTGTCCGCATCTTTGTGATCCTCTCCGGAATGTTTTTTGCTTTCACCCTGGGCGGAGTCCTGTTCCTCCATCAACAAAGAAAATACGGATCAAGTAAGAGACAGAATAAAGGTCTCCAGTCCTGCCCCTGCACCACAGCCCACCTTCTCAGCGCTGCTGCTCATGCCAGGACCTCACCGAAAGCCCCCCAGCTCTGCCTTCACCAACCCTGGTCCTACTCTCTCTCTCCTCCAAGCTGGCTCCCTCCGGACAGCCCTCCCCCAAGCTTACCCTCCTCTGCTCATCTTTCTCCCTCCACTCATCCCCCATCCTGGCCAAGACTCATGGGATTTTCCTCCTGCAGACAAAGGAGAAGGTCCCGTGGAGCCTGCAGAGCCTTGTCCTTACAGCCGCCCCAGGGAGGAGGAGGGCAGCACCCTCCCCATCCAGGAGGATTACCGAAAGCCAGAGCCTGTTTCCTGCCCCTGAGCAAGCAGCCGGGGAGCAGCGGCGTCCTCACTGCTGTAGAGCCCTGGCCTCCATCCCACCCCACCGCCCTCCAGAGGCTGAGACCTGGCAGCCCCAGTGCGGTCCCGACCTCTCATCAGGACCCTCTCCTGTGTACAGACTTGACGGAGTGCCTTTTGGAGACTGGCAGGGACAAGGACAAATAGGAATGCGGTGGAGGGTGGGCACAGGAGCCCTGGGTGTGTACATGGGTGTGTGCCTGCGGGAGGCCCCAGGCTCTAGCTGTAAACACACTTCCGGCCATGAAAGCCCCACGTGCTGTATCACTGACCTACAAAATCAGCAAAATAAAGTGACAGGACCACACTGCAGCTCCCCAGCTTCATCTCTGAAACTTCAGTCCCCAAACCAAGGCCACAGCCCACCTCATCTCCCAGGTCAAGCATCAGAGGGAGGAGTTTCCTCAGGTGCAGATGGTTGGGAGGGATGGGGGGTGTAGGGGGAGGGGGCCTGCCCGAAGGTGGGGTGTGGCCTCACCTGGAAAGGGGGAAAGGTCCCCAGGCTACAGGGCATCCCGCTTCTGACTCCTCTCCCTCCTGCTCCAGCCCTCCACCTCTCCCTCATTCGCATCTCCACTCTACTGGAGCCCTCAGGAGCAAAAGGGTGCAGTGACGTCAGGTCTTGAAATCACCCAGGGATTTTGGGGTGAGCCAGGTGGAGAGAAAGGAATAGAGAGCAGGACTCGGGCAGCTGCTGCAAATGGCTTCACCCAGAGGCAAAGGCAGTCACAGTGACACCTCCTCTAAGTGAAAGTGAAAGAGAAGTCGGCTGCAGAGAGGACCGAAGAGAAACCCACAGGCCCTTGCCAGCACCAGTGCGGGAGAGCCCCTCTTCTCCAGCCCGGCCTCCGAGCGGGGTGGGATTGTGGAGGAGGGCGGTGTGCAGGAGGCCGAGAGCAGCGCCCATGGGCGCGGAGGAGGGGTGGTGCCTGCTGCTGTGCCTGGCTCTGTCTTCAGCGGCAGAAACCGGTGAGTCGGGAGAGCTCGCAGGGGAGAAGCGTGGGGGTAGTGAAGCCCCAGGGAGCCACCCTCCCCGAGATTCCAGAAAGGAAAGGGGGTGGGGATGACTTCCAATCACCTCTGAGCCCAACAGGGGAAAGGCTCAGTGGCTGGCAAAGTAGGAACCAATGTGTGTGGGGAGAGAAGCTGAGAACACGGCGGGAAAAAGGCTAAATAAAGAGGGACCCCTCTGTGGATGTGGTATGGGAGCCACTGTCCTACCAGAGAGGGCATGGGCCTGGCAGCTGACACTTCAGAAGAGGAGGGGGTCTCCCCCCCCCCCCCGCTGAGAAATCACTTGGGAGGTGGCGCCAGAGGTGGGGGAGGGGAAGGCTACATAAGGCGGAAAGCAGGGCAGACCAGGTAGGCTTGGGGGGCGTTTGAGAAGTGGGTGGTCAATGCCCCAGGCAACAGCAAATGTCCAGTCTCCTCTCCCCATGGCAGTATTTGCTCATTGGGTTTTTTTCCGAGAATTCCTTTGACCGAAAATAGTCTTTCGTTCAATGGTTGGAAATAAGAGTAAAAGCATAAACCCTCCTGAGAAAGGCAAATCCAAGACTTTAAGTAATCGATACCAAGAAGTATTTGCCTGGAGTAGCAGGTGCTTCCCAGAAAGCTGGTTTGGGGGATGGCAGGAGAATAGAGGGACGCGGAAACAGCTAGCAGCCTGGAGGACAACTTTTACCCCTTGCTGACTCCACAGTTTGGGGTGGGGGTGGGAAGCAGGTATGGAGTAGCTTCCAGGCAAGAGGGTGCTCACCCAGCCTTCTGCCTGCAGAGCCCGGTGCAGCAGAAAGGCAGTGGCGGCCAGTGGATGTGGTCTTGGACTGCTTCCTGGCGGAGGAAGGTGGGCGCCATGGCACTCTTGCCAGCAGTGAGGACAGGGTGAAGGCCTTGCTTGTGCTGAGGCAGGTGCCAGTGTTGGACGACGGCTCCCTGGAAGACTTCACTGATTTCCAAGGCGGCACACTGGCCCGAGATGACTCACCTGTCATCTTTGAGGCCTCAGGTAAAAGCCATCTACCCTGCGTCCTTAGTCATTCCGGGCTCCCTCCACCGGGATAGCCCAGTTCCCGGTAACACCCGCCCACACCTGCTTCCTGTCATTCCTCGTGTCCTCACTGCAACTCACCCTCCATGTGCCCCCTCTTCCCCAGTGGACCTGATCCAGATTCCCCAGGCCGAGGCCTTGCTCCACGCTGACTGCAGTGGGAAGGAGGTGACCTGCGAGATCTCCCGCTACTTTCTCCAGGCCAGGGAAGCCACTGCTGAGACAGCAGCTTGGTTCATCACCAACATACAGGTCTCTGGAGGGGGACCTAGTGTCTCCGTGGTGATGAAGATTCTTAGCGATGCAGACAGTGGGGCTGCCAGGCACCCCACGCTGAGCCTGCCTCTGAGCCCCCAGGGGACTGTGCAGACTGCAGGTGAGCAAATGAAAAGTAAGGAGCAGAAAGGAAGTTTTGTTTTTCTAAAGTGGTGAGATTTGGGGGGATAGGAGAAGAAAGGGAACAAGTCCACCTCCATCCACCACACCCCCTAGGGAAAACTTCTGGGTCCCGAAGAGAAGAATGCTGGGAAGCCCTTACCTGAAAATCCAAGCACAAAGACAACCTGTGTATTATCTCCAAGATGGAGAGCATTTTCATCTTGCTAGGTTGCCATGAGGAAATAAGACACATGATGCTAGGCTGTTTGTGCATGCTATCCACTGTAGTCTTCTTGAGCCAGTCGCCAGTTTTCTCCCAGTGAAAAGCTAGCCTGGTGTGGTGCTTCAGGTTAGTCAGAGCAAAGCACAGGGACGCAGAATTTGTTCATTATCTCTTATTAGTAAAACTCAGTCCTTGCCCTCCCCGTCTCAGCACATCCTCGAGGGCACAAGAAATTAAGAACACAATGACAGGTTTCTCCTGAGTCCACCAATCCAAAATTGTGCCTCTAAGAAGAGACAACCAAGTGCAGAGAAGATTAGGGGGCTACCCTCGTATCCTTGGACGCTCTAATCTTTCTGTGGTCCAACCTAAATGTATCCTACCACATTAGAAAAGAAGGGTCCTTATGTCTGTCCAGAGTCTACCATACTCCTGGCATGGTTAGGTGTTTCCCTGTTTTTATTTTGGGATTTTTTGAAACCTACAACAAAAAAGGTAAAAGAATAATATAATGAACACCTATATACTCTTCACCTAGATTCACCAATTGTTATCATTTTGTCAGATTCTTTCTCTCTCTCTCTCACTATATATATATATACATACACACACACACACACACACACATAAACACATATAAATATTTTTCTCCCGAGCTAATTGAGAGTAAGTTGGAGATATCACAACACTTGACCTCAGATGCTCCCATGTATAGCATGTATTAGTTCATAGCAAAGGACAGGGACATTCTCCTTCATAGTCACAAAACCACCATATCAAAAGCAAACCAAGGTAGGAGAGTGGTTTACCCATGGTGCAGGCGATAAGGAGGGGTGCGATGTGTAAAGAATTTAAGAATAATAATACAATGAACTAAAAGACAGCTTTATAGTCTCACCATCCCCCTGCATTGGCAATTCTGAACAATATCAGTGATAAAATACTCCTCCCTGCCAGGGCAGACAGTTCCTATTTCTCCCCACTACTGTTTGGTATGCTACAGATCATCATACTTAATCTATTTTAAAATCAATACAATAAAATTCTCACATACAAAGTCCAAACTCAAATTTCCCAAATTATCCCTGTAATTTTTTTTTTTTTTTTTTTGAAACAGAGTCTCACTGTGTTGACCAGGGTGGTCTTGGAACTCCTGGGCTCAAGCGATCCTCCTACCTCAGCCTCCCAAGCAGCTGGGACTACAGGCGCACACCGCTGCGCCCGGGCTCAATAATATTCTTTACAGTTTTCTTATTTAAGTCTACGATTCAAACAAGGATCATGTATTGCATTTAGTTGTGTTGTCCCTTGTTTTAATCTAGACAGTCTTTCATGGCATTGACATTTTCGAAGAGTCCAGGCGAGTTGTTTTGTAGAGTATCTTACCACTCAGATCCATCGGATTGTTTTCCTCAAACAATTAGATCTAGGTCAAACATGTTTGGCACAAATACTACCACTGTGTGCTTTTTAGACTGTTTCTCCTGTACAAGTACCACGCACCGATGGCACCACTGGAGCTCTAATAAACTGTTATTCCTATTCAGTCTCCGCAGCAGGCTTGCTTAAGCAGGTGAGCTTGGCAACTCTAAGTGACTTGTCAAAGGTCACAGGGCCAGTAAGCGGAACAACCAGAGTTCCAGAGTTTTTTCTGCTACTCTAGTAGTTCTTACCTGAGGGTCAACAGTAACCCATACTTTTGTATGTGTATTTTTCTGGTGAGAGATCCATAGCTTTCATTAGATTGTCCTCAGAATAAGTGACCCCAAAATGGTGAAGACCACCATGTGTGCCATTCTGCCTTTCCAGAGCCCCATTTCTTTGTGGTTTTGCTTCATGGGAAATGAGCTCCACTGGCCTCACCGTCCAGGGGAGAAGAAAGAGGCAGGCATATGCCCGCCCGCAACATGCCCATGGCGCAGACATCAGGTGATCACAAGGAGGAAGTGGTACACAAATTACCCCTCTTTTTCTCTCCACAGTGGAGTTCCAGGTGACAACAGCGACCCAATCCCTGACTTACCTGCTGGGGTCCTCGGCCAACCTGGACTGTGGCTTCTCCATGGCGCCAGGCTTGGAGCTCGTCAGTGTGGAGTGGCGGCTGCAGCACAAGGGCAGTGGCCAGCTGGTGCACAGCTGGACCTCAGGGCAGGGGCGGGCTGAGCGAGAGGGTGCCACGCTGGAGCCTGAGCAGCTACACGCGGCTGGGGACGCTTCCCTCACCCTACCCAGCCTCACGCTAAAGGATGAGGGGACATACATTTGCCAGATCACCACCTCTCTGTACCGAGCTCAGCAAATCATCCAGCTCAACATCCAAGGTGAGGCCAGGACTGAGTTATCCTGGGAGAGGTGAAGGGACATGCCTATTGGGAGTGTTTTCCAGACTGGGATGCAAACATGAAGATGATTTCCTGAGAAGCAGTCTGCATCCCCTCAGCCTAGCTGCCATCTTCACCCTAGAAGCACAGATGGCATCAGATAAGGCGTCCCATTGGACTCCAGGCTAATTCCATCAAGAAATTTCCAGCTCAGGGTCCTGCTGCCCTGCCCAGCTGTCTCCAATCTCCCCAGTCCTTTTGGACCACATCCTGAGAAGGAGCAGTAGCAAACCAAGGAGGGCTGGTGGGAGAGGTTCTGACCAGTAGGAGCACTTTATCACTGACATCCTTTAAACTCACTAGCTTATAGGGATATAGAGTAACCTGACCTTCAATTGGCTTTTACTATTACTTTTCTGGAAAACATAGCCCCGCCCTCTAACTTATGGCCAGCTTCCAGGTGGACCCCTCACACCCCCACCCCTGCGTACCCCACCGAAGAGAAGACTTGAGCCTTCACAATCTACTCTCACTCTCTGCAGGAAGAGAAGGCCCCAGGCTCCTCTGCTGTCCCCAGGTGGATCCTTCTGGAATCTTATTCCTCATTCTTTCTCTAGTTCCCCCCAAGGTACGACTGAGCTTGGCAAACGAAGCTCTGCCACCCACCCTCGTCTGCAACGTTGCGGGCTATTACCCTCTGGACATGGCAGTGACGTGGACCCGAGAGGAGCCAGGCGGACCCCCAGTCCAAGTCTCTGGTGCCTCATTCTCCAACCTGAGGCAAAGCGCAACAGGCACCTATAGCATTTCCTCCTCCCTGAAGGCAGAACCTGGCTCTACAGGCGCCACCTACACCTGCCAGGTCACTCACGTCTCCCTGAAGGAGCCCCTTGTGGCCAGCACCTGGGTTGTCCCACCAGGTACTGGAAATGTCTCCTTACTCCACCTCCGCACTTGGGCTCATGGCTGTCCTGCCCCCAGTGCATCTTTGGCCTTGTTCTCCTCCTGCCCACACGCTTTGTTCACAGCCCAAGCTTCACACTTCTGCCTCTGCTCCTGGCTTTGTCTTTCCCAAGGTGGCGGCCACCACAGCCTCCACCACACATCCCCTGAGACTTCATTACACCTCAGCCTCCGCGGTGCCAGGCCATATGCTTAATTCCCGAGCCTGCCCTCTAGGAGCTTAGTCCAATACAGAGACAAGACTAGGTGGGCATGGAAGATGACCTAGAGGAGATATTTGAGCCAAGTTAACTAGTTTAGAGGGAAGGGAACACTCAGGATGGAAAAAATGGCATGTGTGAAGGCCAAATATAAAATGGCCTAAGAGAATTTGGGGAACTGCAAGGAGTTCAGCACAGCTAGAGCCAAGGGCACATGGGAAAAGGGAGACGTGGCTCTGAGGCTTCAGAGGTAATTATATTTATTGGGCATTTACATGAATTGAGCAGGGTGCTAAGCACTGAGCTGTACGATTGCATACATTACAACTCCCGTCTTATAGATGCGTGAACTGGCACTTGCGGGCATCAATTTGCCCAAGGTTACCTACCAATCACTGGCAAAGAGAGAATGTGAAAACAGGCAGCCTGACTCCTCCTACTAAACCCTGTAGATCTCAACAGGCCTTCAAGCTGGAACTTCATCCTGAAAGCCATAAAATGTTGTTGAAAGGTTTGAAACAACCTGTACCTCGAAATTCAAACGTCCAGGAGCACTGGGCGTGATTTGGTCGCTCACTAGACTGTGGGCTTCCCCCAAACTGGGCTTTTGTCTCAGCTCGTATTATTCCCCAACTATTTACGAAATCCCAGTTTAGCTGTCAACAACTAATCTAACCTAAATCTCTCTTGCAAAGCAATTTAAAAACATTGTCTTAGGTAGGAAGAGGTAGGGAATTCTGCGCGGAGTAACACACGAATATCTGACAGGCTCGAACAGGTACAAATGCTGCTGTGTGCCAGGTTCCTGGCTCCTCCACCAAGGACTCACAAACACACACTGCTTTGCTCCTCTTCCTGGGGTGGACACGGGGGTAAGGTCTTGGCCAACGGCTCCTGCCCGTGTTGCTCTTGCCTACAGAGCGGAGAACAGCCTTGGGAGTCATCTTTGCCAGCGGCCTCTTCCTTCTTGCATTGTTGTTCCTGGGGCTTCAGAGACGGCAAGGTAAGAGCCCATCTGCCCTCAGCTCTGGCCCCCGACCCACCGCACTTGTAGGTCAAGCCACTCCGCCTATCTCCCCACCCAGACGAGTGTTGAAGCCCAGCCGTTCCCAGTTCCAGCTGGCCCACCCACCACAGCCCCCTGCTTCTAGGATTACCCCAAATGAAGTCAATCTTTTTCCCTCTTATTCTCTCCTAGCTACCTCACCAAGGTCTGCCAAGACTCCAGGGCACTCTGGGTAGCCACTCTCCTGCCTCAGAGTCAAAAAGAAAGTAGTCGCGTGCTCCCAGAAGGACTCTAAGCCAAGTTGCAAAGCTGGGAAGGCAGGAAGGTGGCACCAGGTCACAGGGCATCAGCCCTGGCTCTGCTAAGGCCTCTGCCTTCCTTCACTGTGCTCCCTGGGCTGACACACCACGGGAGAGAATGGGAAGAGGGGAGGGGCAACAGGAAGGCAGAATGTCCAGGTGCAGGTTAAGACCTAAGAGCCAGATTCGAGGTAAGGTCGTAGGAAAAGAAAACTGGAAGAAATCAAAAAAGGAGCAAGTGAGGGGTGATGGGGCAAAGGGGTAGGGGTTGGGCCCCTAACCCCAAACTCTGAACTCTGTCAAAATAAAAGCCCCATGTCTTTTCCACTTTCCTGTCTTTCCCCAAGCTGGTCCCAACTGAGCCCTGCCCCCAAGCCTGGCTGTGTGTTCCGACCAGCAAAGTGTTGAAGATGTGAAATGAAGACCCCCCACTCAGTTGCTCTGTGTGACTCTGAGCTGTAATTAAGGTTCTGCTCCTTCGGGGAGAGTCACCAGGAATTTCAGGTACCTACAGACTCCTCGCTCCCTCAACTGCAGGGGACATAGCTGTCCTTTTATTCATTTCTAAAACATGCCCGGTCAATCCAGTGGAACTCAGATAAGAAAACCGTATGCGAGGATGATGGAGAAAAATGGGTGTCCGCTGGAGCCATCATCTGGGCACATCCCCTGGGCCAGGCCAGGCAGGCCCAGGACCTGGGAAGAAGGCAGACACGAGCGGCCTGAGAGAACCCGCAGTTGTTTGCCAGTGTGAGGTGCCCACTCAACTTCCTGTCGTCACTTCCTCTCACTGGCACCTGCGAGAATTGGGCTGCTTCAGGCATGAAAGCCGAGAGACCACTTCCGCTACTGACACGCAGAGCGGCAGTCTCCATGAAGACTGCATGCACACAAAAGCCAGCCCTGCCAGACTAAAGCCACGTCAGACTACAGAAAGAAAGGACACTCCTCCCCTCCCCTCCCCAGTTACTCCAACCCAAACAACAACCAAGACAGTTTAGCGGTAGGAATTTGTATTTGTTGCCTTTGTTCGGAATACATGAAATTGGTAAATATGCCACATGCCTTTGGTGGAAGTACAACCGTTATTACTCAATACAAGTATGAGATTGGGGTTAGGAAAAACAGACAGAGGTGATGAGAGACACACAGTGGAAACCCCACATCATCTCATGGCGAACTGAAGGAGGGGATGTGGGAAGCTCAGCTTCATTTGACAGCAAAGTCCCGGGGCTAGTTGCATATTTGCTCATGCACAGGGTAGTGGGAGGAGAGGGAGGGTAGCAAGGACACAGAAGAGGACACAGGGTGGGGTGAGAAAGAAACTAGAAGGGCTAACACCCCCAAAAGGACAAAGCCGACTATATTTGGTGAGCCTCAGAGGGACAGAAACCCAGGAAGTAATTCCCGTGATAGGGCTGGGTGGGCCAAGAGAGTGGATTTGCTCCAGGCTTGGGACACATCGAGGACAGTGGTGGTTCTTCTCCAGCGGTGACCCCCTGCATTAGGCAAAAAGGAGCCCAGAGGAGAGTGGAGGCCTTCGAGGGGGACGGTTGGGAGGGTACACTGACTGCTTTCTTCCAGCTCTTCAGTCCTGCCCTGAGGCAGGACGAAGGGGATGCGGGCAACAGGGGTGAAGGGAAAGGAAGGATGGGTTTGCACAGTGAAATGCTGCTGCATGGAGAGTGGGCGTCCAGCCCCAGCCCAGTGTGGCCTCGGCCTCTTCCTGCTTGTGGACCGAGGACGGAATAAAGGGCGTGGGTATTTCCCCTTTTGTTCCCAGCCTGCCTCCTCCCCTCTGGGTTTATCTGTGCAACATCCTATCCTGAAGCTCAGCCCTCAAGGTGCGCTGAGCAGCTCCCATCCTCAGGTTCCACTGTCTGCCTGCACAAACCACGCAAAGAAGACGGAAACGAAGGAGGCAAAGTAGAATTCAGATGGGTGAGGGTGGTTTGAAGCGGAACGTACTATAGGAAGAACAGAGAGGCAGCTCTAGACAAGAGGGCCCCACAGCAGCACAGCAATGCACAAGCATGCCTATCACAGACTGGCACGCCTCCCCCACAAGGTGGAGTTGGTGGGTCTACTGGACTTCTCTAAATCCTCAGGATGGGCCAGGCCTTGGGAAGAACCTCTCGCCTGCTCCCTATCTTTAGCAAGTACATGGGGGTGGCGTGGAGGAAAGGATTTCACCGGAGTCCATGGATCCTCATTTTTCCCCCCATACTCATAGGGCTATTTGGAAGAGTGTCACGTCTAACACCCTCACGTTTCTTTATCAGTAGGAAGGAAGGAATGGGACCCTGCTTAATCAGAGGGCAAGAGTGGCTTCCTCTGAGCTTGTTATTTTCAAATTAGGCCCTTGACTCACTGTTTCTCTATAACTAACAGGCATTCTTTCCATCTACGCCAACAATTAACTGAGCTACATGAAATTATTTGGCTAGATAAAACATTGGCTAGATAAAATTATTTGGTACCCTCATGAACAAAACAGAATGCAGCACAAAACATGAAGAACAGACAGCTCCTTCCTGTTAGAGGCATATGGGACTGCTTCTAGGTTGGAAACAAGAGTCACAGTTTTTTCACAATCCATAAGAGTTTGTTCTCCAGGCCTATGGAGAACGGAGTAAAAAGTTGTAAGATCCCCAAAGACATAGAAAATCTTAGACTAATAGATTAGAAATAATTGCAAGAAACAGGTTTCACTTTCTAAAAGGGTGTTGTACCAAGGCCAAGTTGGACTTTGAGCTTCTTCAGGCCTGGTCTAGGAGAAAAGCTCCACATGACCAGGTTGGCACTGAGTGAGCCGCCATCTTCCTGCCGCCATCTTCCAGTGGCCAGGCCTTTCTAGGAGACACCATGGGCACCATACCTTCTCCCCCTAGTCCAGAAAGCTTCTTGGGCACTTCACCTCAGCCACTCCCCTTCCCCTTCCCTTGGCTGCCAACTCTTTTGGGCTCTGGGGGAACCTGACAGTACATAGGAAGGGGGTGGGGAGGAGGCACCGGCTGTTGCTCTTCAGGTAGTGACTTCAAGACTGTGCCACGAGCAGCATTTCTAGCGTCAAGGGACATAGTGCAAATGAATGCAAAAAAAAAGAGGCATGGATGATGGAGAAGCCTGGGCTGGGATGGAGGAAGGCAGATGCAGAAGTGTGTTGAGAGAACAGACGGAGAGAGAAGGACATGAGTTTGGGTCACAGTGGAGAACAGGGAAGGGGTAGCACATTCTCAAGTAAAAAAGTAGACTGGACACAGGAATCAGGAAGTCCCAGATGGAAAAGAGAAAGAGACAGGAGAAAACAAGAGGGCAAATTACATCAAGTTACTAGACATTCGGGTCTTTCCGTTGTAGGTGCCCCATCCCCATCTCCCTCTGACCCAAGCCAGTGACAAACAGCACAGCCCCACTTCCTCAGAACAGGAGGGGCCATCTCCGCACAACACCTTGCAGGGGGACAGCTTGTCCATCAAGGAAGTCCCTTGTCTTTGCCCTTCCCCCTCCCGGACCAGGTGATGATCCCACGGCAGCAGTCTCCATACCTCAGTCAGAGCAGCCCCACTCCCCAGGCAGGCAGGCAGGCAGGGCTGGGAGAAGACTCCGGGACCTTCCCACCTCTTCACCCCACCAGCAACCTCAGCGATACTTACTTACAATAACTACCACGATGATGGCACAGATAGCTCCCAGCATGATCATCATCTGAGGAAACATGGACAAAAAATGAGCCCTTGGGTTTGGGGAAGGAGGAAAGGAGCCAAATCTCTAGTGGGAACAGAACTTCCTCCATCCTTGGGACAGTGGAAGAAACCACCCATCACTCAGGAGACGCGCGGGCCTCTCAGGGAGGCCCCACCCTTCTGCTTCCCGTAGGATCATAACCCCAGCACGACATCTGTAGCTTTTCAGAAACATCGCAGGCCCTGCCGCTGGCTCCCTTTTGCTTGGTTCCTGTTGCTTTGGGGTTTTAAAAGAAATTCCAATACAGGTACAGACTTTGGATGTTCAGTCGATTGGTTCGGTTTTCACTGTGAAATGTTCAGCTCATTCCCAAAAGTTGCAGGTGTTTGGAAATATATATACTCAAGCCATTGTGTTGATGTTGGGTGTATCTGCGGAAGGGCCAGGTGAGAATTTTTGCAGGCAACTCCTTTTGGGTAAAGCTTCTTAAATAACCGTTCCAAACTCCTCAGGGTATCACTTTCTCCCAGTTAGGGGTTCTGAATACTCTAGCCTACCCTGGTGGCCAATTCAGGGTAATGCATCTCAAGAAGGAGGCATTCCAGATATCCTCCCAAGTGTTGTGCAGGGCAGAGATCCTGCACCATTACAGGCAAGAAACACAGAAGCTGAGGGTTTTCTCGTCTTCTACAAGTACAAGCCCAGGAAAAGAAGGGGGAGAGGACAAGAAAATTCACCTTGCAGTTTTTCCACCAATACTTCCGCTTTAGTTTGGCAGCACTGCTCTCAAATTGTGACGCTCCCGCCTGCAAGGCATCAGCTCGGTCATCCAGCTCTGACAGCTTCTGGTCCCTCTCCAGGACCTTGTCCACATTCACACGTATGATGTCCACCACCTAATGGGGGCACAGAAACAAAGCTGATATGCCCCATGCCAGACACAGTGGAAAGAATCATCACCAGGGAATTGCAAGTCTGGCCCTGTGTCACTCTAAGGGATGCTTTGCCTCCCAGAGCCTTGAACTACCTCCCTATTAAAAAAAAGAACAGGTAAGATGTTCCCTTCTGTTTCTAAACTTCTGTGATTTGGAATCTTTCAAAGAAACAGCTATCTACCTACCTCCTCCACTTGTGCCTGGGTTTGCTGTAGTCGTCTGTTACTGGTCGTGTTAGGAGGAGGGCCAGGGGGACCCCCACCAGGGGCAGTCCCTTCTGTCACTTCAGCAGGTGGCTGAGCTGGAGCAGACCTGTGGAAAAAAGGGAGCAGAGTACACAAAGTAACCAAGACAAGAAAGGAGCCAGGCATGGTGGCACATGGCTATAGTCCCAGCTACTTGAGAGGCTGAGGATTATTTGAGCCTAGGAGTTCAAGTCTAGCCTGGACAACATAGCAAGACCCCATCTCTAAAGCAAAAAAAGACTCACATGCATCCTCACCCCACAGCACCAAAGCAATTATGATTAGGTTATATGCATGCAAACAGAAGGGATTTTAGCTCCTTGGCAATCCCAAGTAGGGAGATGCAGCATAGAAGCAAGAAGCAAAAAATGAAAGATCCTATAACAACATTTAGATGGGGCTCAGCAACATCCAGGGTGGCATCAAGAGATATTGTCTGGGGCTATCCTCTGACGCAAACGCAAGCATCTCCTCTGCCACAATGGCTACAGGGACAAATGTGCCAGCCTTGGCCCAAATGGCATCCAGCTATAAGAAGTCTTTCACATGAACCAAATTGGAAAATTCCAACCCAGGATAAGAGAAATTTGTAGAAAAGACTAAACTCTCAGGACCAGCCTATGGATTGAACTGAGAGCCTTGAATATAAAAGCCCATGGGGACCCAGTTATTGGTTACGTTTCACACAATGATGAGAAAATCAGGGCTGCTGTAACGACAACTTGGAGAATCACCAAAGGCAAAGTCTATGTAGGTGGAGTGAGTCAAGACTGTTTGTTTGCTTTGTTTTGGGCAGAGAAAATAGAGGTTTCAATTAAAATCTGGAGCCCAAAGCAATTGCATTAGCTATGGAAACTGGTCCAAGACCATAGACAGGAAGCAAAAATGCTAGAAATAGTCCTCAATGTACATGCATCACAGACATTCTGTCCCTTCTTTTTCTAGATTTGGCACAGTCCCAGGAAACTCCCCTGGTTTTTTATGTCCCAAAGAGAAATCTTGGTGTACACTACTATACATATGGAGACTGTTCTCTCTTCTAGTACCACTCAAGGCTAAGGGATCCCTTAGCCTTAGAAGGGAATAATCTAGTGTGGGGTCTTCAAGACAAATTCCTTTCCATTGTCAAAAACATGGAGGCTAAATTCACTTCCTAAAGAATTCCCAGAAGGGCCGGGCACGGTGGCTCACGCCTGTAATCCTAGCACTCTGGGAGGCCGAGGCGGGCGGATTGTTTGAGCTCAGGAGTTCGAGACCAGCCTGAGCAAGAGCTAGACCCCGTCTCTACTAAAAATAGAGAGAAATTAATCGGACAACTAAAAATATATAGAAAACATTATCTGGGCATGGTGGCGCATGCCTGTAGTCCCAGCTACTCGGGAGGCGGAGGCAGGAGGATCGCTTGAGCCCAGGAGTTTGAGGTTGCTGTGAGCTAGGCTGACGCCACGGCACTCACTCTAGCCCGGGCAACAGAGTGAGACTCTGTCTCAAAAAAAAAAAAGAATTCCCAGAAGTATAACCTAAGGCATGAGAATTTTTCTCTGCTAAGGAAGAACCCAAGTGAAGGGAGATCTCTCAAATTTGATGGAGAATAGAAATTATAATAAGAATTCCTCAAACAGAAGCAGAATCTCACAAAACATACTTCACAGGAGCAGTCCAAGAGTAAACACACTAGAAATTAAACTATCACAAAGTCACCAAAAAGGAAATTCCTTGACTAATCACAATAGAATGCCCAGAAGCTCCTCCTCAACTAAGTGAATTTCTTTCAGTCTAAAATACAGAGAATAACCCCTCAGAGAGGCTACACTAATAGATTACACCTAACTCATCTCCATTTAAGGAATAGTTTTCACGTTTCCCTCCAAGGCACAAAGGAGGCAAAGAAAAGAAAGATACAAAGCCATGGCAGCCACAAGACTCATGTGCTGCTACTGAGCTAGCTAAGCCATCCAGTTCTTGACTGAAGGCAGAAAATTCAATGAGTAGGTAGCAGCCAGTGTTGGAAGCAGTCCAGGATGGTGGCACCAATGACAAGATTAAGGTCACAGACCTCGTGATGCCCTGCTAGCCACCAGCTTTCTCCATCTCCTCCTGTTCATCCCACATGGATGCTATCTGGAACCAGTCTGCTGAGAAGGATCCCTCTCCCAAAAGTGAAAACAACTGGAATCCTAGGGTTTGTCCAAAATGTATAGAATACTCATATATAGTTAAAACCACAGAAGTCAAAGAGAAGCGAAATGGCTATAAAGCATTTAGGGGCCCACTTCACTTACTACTTGTTGGAAGTTGGAAACACACAGCAGTAAAATATTCAGGGATAATTACAACCCTTATGTAACACAAGTAAATTTTTTCCTTTTTTGTCACCAAGAGAAGCAACACAAATACATCTAGGACCAGGCTGGGGCTCCAGTCAGCAATCAGAAAGGAAAAATCTCTATTAGACATATTGTGGTCTTGACAGAGAAGTACTTCATTTGTCTAGCCATAGTACTCCCTCCGGATCTTGGGAAGCCAGTGATGTTGAAGATGGCTGGAGACTAAACTGTGTGTGTTGGAGGAAGGGGGGAATGCTCAGCTGTCCCCATTCCTCCTCCTCCAAATACTTGTCTGAGACTCGATGATAGAAAAACCTCCTATAAGGGTGGCCTTGGGATGAATGCTCCTTGAATCTTTCTGAGCTGCTCGCCTAGCACCAGAGAACTGAGACAAGTTTCTGGAACTTTGCTCGCTGCCATGAGCGAGGTACACATCACACTTTGGGTGCAGGGCATTCACAAACCCAGAGATTGCAGAGCAACCCACGTTACTAACTGGCAGATGCACGCACGACTGTCTTTTCAGAGGCTCTAAGCACTGAATCAATAAGATGACAAGAAAGGGCTTTCGAGTCCCTACACAGTTGTCTCCATCCTCCCACCCTCTTCAGTACTCCACTACACTGAGATCAGAATAAGGTGCCACTCAGATGAGAGTTGAGGGTGCAATGAATGTGGGACCCCTGCGCCCCTGCCCCGCCCGTGGGGTACTAGCTGTGGCTGGTGCGAGAATGAGGTGCTGCCCCGTCCCTGGGGTGGCCCGGTCTGGGGGCAGCTCTCGGTGGTGGTTCCCCGCGTCGCTGCAGCTGCTGCAATGCGCCATTTTCCGTCCCGCACAGTCGGGCGCTGGGGGTTAGAGTTGTCAAGGAGGTGTCCAGCCCCATACACCAGAGTCAACTCACATTTTTCTGACAGAGGGAGTGAGGGTCTGTCTCCTCTCTGGAGGCTGCGGCGAGACACCGGCTGGGCGACGCTGCGGCTGAAGTGGACGGAACTGCCGAGCTCCGCCCACAGCTGACCACCCGAACTCTAGCTGCGGTGGCACTTACTGCAGCTGCCGCGCCCGCGCCCGCCTTTATTAGTGCTGGCCACGCCTCCCGGATGACGTTGTAACCCCCGCGGCCCAATCCACTTCCAGGACGGCCGCCCAGTGCGGAATCGAAGCGGGGCGGAGGTCCTAGCCGACTCCAGAAAGGAGAGTTGTGAGCATCACTAGCTGACCAATACAGCTACAGTTTGCCTTCCTGTCTAGCTAAGCGACAGGGCGCGGTAGAGATACGGGCCAGCCCCTCGGAGGGCGCCTCAACAGTTTGAGTTAGGCATTTTTCGTGCGTCCCAACTAATCGCTGGGCAGTGCCTGAAGTTTGGGCCAGCCCACCGCCCGGAGAGGGGGTTCCAGGCAAGCCCACGGCTCCCGGAGACAGCCCCTGGCGGTCCAGGCCCGGTTCGCTGGGACTCTGGAGTTCCCTCGGAGGCTGTGGTTAGGCCGTTTATGCACAGCCCTGGCATCCAGACCCCGCCAGCGCGCCACCCCACCTCCCCGCCTCTGACAGCTCTGAGGATGCAGCATCCGCAAGGCAGAGCCGCAGGCTCCCAGAGCCAGATACGGGGCGCGGGGTCCGTCCTACCAAAACAAATAGGAAGGCTTTGTTCGTATGTTTCTGTCAACATAGCCTAAGTTGAACTTTCCCCCCAAACCTGCTCTTCCTATCCCTCCAGGTAGCCTATCATATCTGATCAGCTGCGCAGACCAGAAACCTGGAAGCCATCCTAGATTTTCTCCCCTTCATCTTTACTCCTCCTCCAACAATTCAAGTCGATTTTTTCTTCTTAGCATTTCAAGAATTCTCTCCCTTCTTCTCACTTTCCTGGACGCCACCAGTTGTAAAACTCACCATTATTTTATGTCCCTCTAAGAGGTTGCAAATCAACTGTGACAATGCTTTCTTACCACTTATAACTTTCATTTTACATTTATTGAAAGTGTAATCGCTTCTCCGCCTTTTGGCTAAGATCAAGTGTATTTATGTACGTATGGCTTTATATCAAATTTCACTCTTGTGCATACATAAAAAGGGAAATAGAAAAGAGTAACATGGTAACAGTATGCCTAAAACTTCACAGAGACTGATTCTTAATGATTCATGATTTTGACACAGTCTTAGATGTCCGTGAATTTCCACACAATGTAGTCCTCTGTGCATGCTATCAAGGGCTTTGGTGATACAGCATTTCCTAAGAGTGTTCCTCTTCTGTCTCTGGAATTTTCTTCTAAGCCTCAAGACACCCATTTTGCAAGTTTTGACGCTGGTGAGCGGGTGTGACAAATACAGTATGACTGCTGTCTGACTAATAGCTATAGTGAAACATCCCAATTTAAGTGTTGAAATGCCAAAAAAAAAAAAAATGCCTCCTAGAATCAATGAAATATAATATTATTCTGCTTCCAGTCTTCTCTTCCTCATATCTGTCCTCTAAGAAACCACCAGAGTGATCTATCCAAATGTCACAACTCTTAAAAACCTTAAACAATTGGTCCTAGAACACAATGCATTGATTATATGTGTTTATCCCATCCTCCTCCTGAAACCACATCAAAATGAAATTTGGAAAAATTGAAAACAAATTATAAGCCCTCAAAGACAAAAAGAACAGGAGGAAATGTTTCTGGCAGTATAGATACTTTTTTTTTTCTTTTTTTTTGAGACAGAGTCTTGCTCTGTTGCCTGGGCTAGAGTGTCACGGCATCAGCCTAGCTCACAGCAACCTCAAATTCCTGGGCTCAAGTGATCCTCCTGCCTCAGCCTCCAGAGTAACTGGGACTTACAGGCCCGGCTAATTTTTCTATTTTTAGTAGAGACGGTGTCTCGCTCTTGCTCAGGCTGCTCTCAACCTCCTGAGCTCTAGTGATCCTCCCTCCTCAGCCTCCCAGAGTGCTAGGATTATAGACGTGAGCCACCACGCCTGGACTAGATCGCTGTTTGTTGTCTTTGCCAGTGGATGTCTAATTGCTACAGGACCATTTGTTGAAAAAAACAATCCTTCCTCCATTGAATTGGTTTTGTGCCTTTGTCAAATATCAGCTGGGCTAATCCCAGCTACTCGTGAGGCAGGAGGATCACTTGAGGCCAGGAGTTTGAGGTTGTTGTGAACTAGGCTGATGCCATGTCACTCTAGCCTGGACAACAGAGACTCTGTCTCAAAAAAAAAAAAAAAATCAGTTGGGCATATATGTGGCTAGTCTACTTCTGGGTTCTCTATTCAGTACCACTGATCTATGTGTCTATCCTCCCACCAATACCACTTTGTCTTGATTACTATAGCTATATAGTAGTAAGCATCAGGTAGAGTTATTCCTCCCTTTTTATTTTGCTTTTTCAGAATTTTTTTAGCTATTCTAGGTTCTTTGTCTAAAAGGACATTTTTAAAACTGTATTTATTCAGGTACAAAGTTACAATTAGACAGGAAGAATAAGTTCTGGTGTTCTATCACACAGTAGGGTGACTATAGCAAATAACAATGTACTATATATTTTAAGATAGCTAGAAGAGATTTTGAATGTTATCACCACAAAAAGATAAATATTTAAATTGATGGATATAATTAGCCTCATTTGATCATTATGCAATGTATACATGCATTGAAACATCACACTCTACCCCATAAATATGTACAATTATTATGTGTCAATTATAAAAAATAATTAATAAAAAATAAAATATATGAGCTGACAAAAAAAGTAAAGACTATCTAAAGACCAAAAGCTAAGTAAAAGCTGGTACCCAAAAAGGTAGCTGAGTCCCAAAGCCTATTTTGTCTTGAGGGCATCTGCTAAAAAGCTGAATTTGAGCATGGTGTCCTCACAGGATGCCACTATGGCATAGGAGAAAAGCCCACGGCTTACCTAAGTTGGGAAATTTAACAGAAGGCCCTTATCATAAAGCCAGAACCTCAAAGGACTGTTTCCTCACGTAAGAGTGTATTCAAAATATGCTAGCACCCACACTGCCCTTAGGGGACTACATAGAAAATTGTTTGTCTGGAACCTATGTGCCTGCTGGAGCTCTTTTATTTTTCTCATTTAAATATTTGCAGAGAGGCCGGGCAAGGTGGCTTACCCCTGTAAACCTAGCACTTTAGGAGGCCAAGGCGGGAGGACTGCTTGAGGTCAGGAGTTTGAGACCATCCTGAGCAAGAGTGAGACCCTGTCTCTACAAAAAACAGAAAAAATTAGTGGGGCATGGTGGTGCACACCTGTAGTCCTAACTACTTGGGAGGCTGAGGCAGGAGGATCCCTGGAGCCCAGGAGCTTGCAGTTGCAGTGAGTTGTGATGATACCACTGTACTCCCACCTGGGTGACAAGACAAGACATTGTCTCAAAAAAAAATAATTGAAGAGAATTTATAACCACATGCTGTGGTTTTTCTGCCTAAATTCTTTGTCAATCCTAAAAACAAAATGGCAAGAAATTAAAGTGCTTTTGAGTTGACAGTACCACTAAGCAACTGGCAGACACAATGTAAATCCTTTCTGGATGAACTCATCTTCAATCTAGGCCTTGGGGAATTTCCACACATACAGTTCTAAGAAAAATAAATTGTGGTCAAAAACTGCAAACAAATAAGGAACAAGTTACCAAGAGCAAGAACCAGTAGAGATAGAGACAGGAAATAAGAAAGAAAATTAGAAAATTAAGCCAAATAGTTCAATGTCTGACTAATAACAGTTCTAAAAAGAGAAAACAGGATATGTAAGCAAAAGGGAGAAAAAGGGTGTATATGAGATTAACTATAAGAGAAATACAACTTCCCTTAATTGAAAGCCTTTCCAGATTAAACAGTGTGCTATATGTCTGGAACAAAAAGGAATCACATCAAGACACGTCTTTGTGAAATCTCAGAATGCTACAGAAGATGAGAAGATTCTAAAAACTTTCAAAAAGAGAATAAAAGATGGAACAGGAATCAGAATAGCATCTCAGTACAAGATCGAAAGAAAACAATGTAACAGTGCTTTTAAGAATTTGAAGAAAAATTATTATTAACCTAGCATTCTATACCAGCCAAACTATTGATAAAAGATGAGGGTATGGTGGCACAAGCCTTTAGTCCCAGCCACTAGGCAGGCTGGGGCAGGAGGATCGCTTGAGCCCAGGTGTTTGCAGCTGTAGTGCACTATTATTGCATCTGTGAATGTCAACTGCTCTCCAGCTCCAACAACATAGTGAGACCCTTGTCTCTAAAAAATAGACTAAAAAGACGAGGGCAGAATAAAGACATCTTTCAGAAATGTAAGGAGTCAAAAATTTAACCTCCCTTTCTAACTAGGCGACTACTTACCAGATATGATCTGGTAAACAGGAAAGAGGCAATAGATCTAGAATGTGGGATGCTGGATGCACACACAAAACTGGTGGAAGAAAATGCTTTGAATGGAAGCTATGCCACAGACACAGAAACAACCTGCTGTGACTGAAGCAGGGGATGGGAAATACTGCAGGATAGTCTCCAGGGGGAAAAACTGATAAAGTACCGGACATGTTTAAGCATTTGAAAATATTATGACCAACTATTTTACAGATCTGATGGGCACATAGAAAAAATTAGAGCTGGATACATAAAAAGGAAAAGGAGGCAATTATTAACTTAAGGAAAAACAAAAAGTTGGATAAGAAATAGAAGTTCCCTCACATTTATGTCACCTGATTTTCCACAAAGGCGCCAAGACCATTCCACGGAGAAAGGATAGACTTTTCAACAGATGGTGCTGGGACAACTGGATATCTACAGGCAAATGAAGGAAGCTGAATCTCTGTCTCACACCACATACAAACATTAACTCAAAATATCACAAAAACCTAAATGTGAGAGCTAACGCTATAAAACTCTTTAAAAAGCATAGGTATATGTCTTTGTGACTTTGGAGTAAGTAACGGTTTCTTAGCTATGATATGACAAAGGAACAAGCAACGAAAGAAAAATTAACAGGCCATCATCAAAATTTAACTTCTGTGCTTCAAAGGACATGATCAAGAAAGTGAAAAAAACACCCATAAAATGAGAAAAAAATTTACAAACCATTTATCTGATAAGGTACTTGTAACTAGAATATATATATGAAGAATTCTTACAACTCAATTATAAAGACAGCCCAATTTGAAAATGAGCAAAAGATCTAAACAGGCATTTCTCCAAAGAAGATATATAAATGGTCAATAAGCACAATAAAAAATGGTCCACATCGTTAGCCATCAGGGAAATGCAAATCAAAACCACAATGAGAAATCACTTCACACCCACTAAGATGGTGAAAATAAAAAAGATGGATAACAAGTATTGGCAATAATGTGGAGAAATTGGAACATTTATATGCTGCTGGTGGCAATTCCAAATGATGGATTTTGGAATTTCCAATTTTGAAAAGAGTCCAGCAGTTGTTCAGTTAAACATCGAGTTATCATAATGACCCAGTGATTCCATTCCTAGGTATATACCTAAGAGAAATGAAAACATATGTCCACATAAAACCTCACACATCAATGTTCATAGCAACATTACTTAGAATAGCCAAAAACTGGAAACAACCCAAACATCCATCAACTGATAAATGGATAAAATTAATGTGATATATCCATATAATGGACTATCATCTGGCAATAAAAAGGAATGAAGTATGTACTAATACATGCTACAACATAGGTGAGCCCTGAGAGCACTATGCTAAGTGAAAGAAGCCAGTCATGAAGGATCACATATTGTATGATTATGGAATATCATATGAAATATCTAGAAGAGACAAGAATCTACAGAGGAGGGGAGGGGAGGTTTGGGGGTGACAGCTAAGGGGTATGGGGCTTCATTTTAGAGTGATGAAAATGTTCTAAAATAGATTATGATGATGGATTCACGACTCTTGTGAATTCAGTAAAAGCCACCAAATTGGGTGTATTGTATGGTGTGTGAATTATATCTCAATAAAGATAAAACATTTTTTAAATAAGAAACATAAGTATACCACTTGGCTCAGTAGTAAACAATATTTACAAAGTTGTAATGTCAGTCCATTATTTCAAAGAGACAGAGGCCCTGTCTCTTTAAAGAAAAAAAAAAAAAAAGTTTAGGCTAGACAACTGAATGACACCATATGAAAAAAGAATCTCGGCCACCCCAACTGAGGCACCAGATGTGACTGAAGACATCTTGGACATTCTAGCCCCAGACAAGTTCTCAGCTGAATGCAACCACATCATCGACCCCAACTGACACCAAATGGAGAATTGACCAGCTGAGCCCAGATAACCCAGAGACTATGAATTAATGAATTGTTGTCTTCAGTCATTAAGTTTTAGGGTAGATTTTTATGTAATAATAATTGAAACAGGTACTTAAAGGATTTGGATCAAAAAAGTATTCACCCCAATTTCTCTGCCTTCAAATCCCAATTTGTATCTCTAAATAATTCATTTTTAGTTTGCAATACTACTTTTATTTTTTCAGCTAATAATTTTAAAACATATTTTCATTCATTTTTTTTTCAGATTTTTGTAATTCTTGACAATTACGTACTCCAGAAGAGCGCCATCACCACTTAAATTTGCCAAACTCTGTACTAAATATTTTACCTTAAAATTTTATTTATTTCTCACACAATCTTATGAAGAAAGGACTGTATTATTCCTATTTGACATGCTAAAAAAAATCTAAGGCTCACAGAAGTTAACTACTCTATTTCATAGAGTGGGAGAGCTTAAATTCAAACCCAGACCAGTCTGACTCTAAAACCTATGTTCTTAATCAAGTCTGTACGAGAAACTTACCTATATTGACATAAAAAACCTTCCCAAGGAACACAACACTTTTAGTCCACATAAAAGATTTCTTTAAAAACAATACATCATTCACCCTAACTTGGAATGACCCCTAGAAAATAAATAAAATAAAAAGCAATACATCAATTTTTTTATATTAAACAAGGTCTCGCTGTGGCCAGGCTACAGTGCAATGGCCTCATCATAGTTCACTGCAACCTAGAACCCCCAGGATCAAGTGATCCTGCTGCCTCAGCCTCCCAAGGAGCTGGGACTACAGGGGTATACCACCATGTCTGGCTAACTTTTTAATTTTTCGTAGAGATGGAGGTCTCACTATATTGTCCAGGCTGGTCTCAGACTCCTGGCCTCAAACAATCCCCCCACCTCAGCTAGGATTACAGGCATGAGCCAATGCGCCCGGCCTCAAATGCTGTATTTTACTTGGCAAATATTTATTGAGAACCTCACTATTCTAGGCACTGGAGAATATGAAACATTTTAATCCTAATTGACATACGATTCTAGAAATTGTAGCAACATTTTTTTCCTCTTAATGTCAAAGTTATTTAACTTGATTCAATGCCAAGTAATCATCAAAACATAGAAAGGTAGAATAGTATCATACTATGCCTCATTACAGCTAGACCCCCTCACCATTTCCCAAGGAATTCTACGTTCTATCATGAACCACTCATCACTCTTCTCTTCCCCACTTGAAATGTTCTACCACCTCCCTCTCTACTTACCAAATCCAACCTATTCTATGAAGCCTCTCTTGATTAGGCCAGTCAGACACATTCTCTTATCTAGGGTATTTATTGTCCACTTCAGTGGTTTCCAAACATGGCTAATTAAAATAACCTGAGGACTTTAAAATTAGAATTACCTTAAAATTACAGGAGTCGTACTTTGAAAAAGACTGGAAATAATTTAAATGTCTATCAAAATGGAACTGGTTAAGTCATCATGGTAAAGTGACTATATAAAACAATCTTCAAGTTATATTAAGTGAAAAATCAAGGTACAGAACAGTGTATGGAATCCTACTTATTAAAGAGATAGATATATAAGCTTATGCATGCACAGTATATGTCCAGAAGGGTTAAAAAGACACTTAAGTGGTTCCCTCTGAGAAGAAGCACCAAAAAAAATCAAAACAAAAGATGCTGTCCTTTTTTTTTTCCTTTCAAAAGCAGGTATATTCATGAAAGAACTTTTGTTGTGATTACATTATTCTAACTTTTAAATTTTGCATTGTATTATGGTTTTTTTAATTACTAAAAAAGAACAAAACATAGATGCCCAAGACTCAGCTCACCTCACAATCTTTAGGGGGTAGGACTAGGCTTCTGAAATATTAACCTACCGAGATGATTCTGATGACCAGCCCGGCTTAGTATCCCCCAGCTCTATCACTCACGTGGTACTTAATGCCTCATACTAAAATAGGGAGGGTACCTTACACTTTTTTGTTTCTCCTATGCTTCCCACTCAGATACCTAATAAATATTTTTTGATGAGAGTAGTACAGAAGTATAACTCCATTTTTCTATTAATTTCATTCCAGTGTGGAAGGGTCTTTAGAAACACTTTTAACATAATAGCATTATGGGGCAATTAAAATGACCAATTTCAAAACATGAAGGGTCAGTGTCGAAAAGTGTCAACAACAAAGTATTCTCACCAACTTTTCTTTTTTCAAAGGCCATAGGTATTGCTAGACTGGAAAGGGCAAGTGGCGTGAAGCCCAAACCTAAGACCCTAAGGCTTAAGACTTAGGGATGAGTCAGACTTCACAGTCTATATAAATGAGTAGAAGCAGCATCTAGAGGAAAATAAAGTGTGTAGATACCAAATTCCAAAGAAGCCCCATTTTATTACAGAGAACATATGAAGCCCTTTCCTCACAGACAAAAGCACTGTTCTTCCTCTCCAGGGAAACAGATGAGCCTCTTCCAAAGTTCCCAGCTTTCGCTTCTACCGGTACTTCCCATGTCGGTTAAAGTGTTTGTAGAGATAGCGGATGCGTTTATTAAGGTTGTGCAGGTCATCGATGAACATTCGCTTTCCAACCATTTTCTTCTTTCGGATACAACGCTGCAATTCATTTCCCTTCCAACCGCGAAGCCATTTGGGGCCCCTGATCAGTTCTTTGGGGTGCTTTTCAAAGTTTCCTGTGTAAGAGAACATATTAGTTCCAAGACAAGAAAACCCAGCCTAGAACAGCTAAGCCTTTAATCACAGTTCCATCTTCTTGACAGCACCTATAGAAAAGACTGTATAGTATCAAGGACACAGACTTTGTAGCCAGACTGCTTGGGGTTCAAATTCTGACACTGCCATTTACTAGCTTTAGAAAAATTACTAACTTCTCTGTTCCTCAGTTTCCTTACATGTTAAATGAAAATGTTATTATGAGAGTACTCAGAACAGTGCCGAACGCAATGTAAACAGCCACGTAAGTGTTTGCTCTCACTATTGAGCACAGCACCATCTTCTATACAGGTGAAAAAGATCGTCGTTACAGCGCAATTGCCATTCTGAAATTGTGTACCACGTAGAGTCAAGTCTTACCCAGGATCCCTATGTTGTCATACACCCCGAACATGGCCCTTTTCTCATTCCAACGATCAACCACTTTGGGGGGCGGGAGGGTGAGCCTTACACGGGAAAATCCAGGAATACCTAGGAATGAAGAAGAGAGGGAATGAATGTGAGCCGCCTACTAAAAAGCAGTTCTTCTAGGGGCGTCTACATCAGCCACTTACCCAGAGAGAAGCTTCTGCACGCCAATGGCACCCAGCCCCACAGGCCCCTACTTGCCCCCCAGGAGAGGGTCCCTGCCATTGCTCTAGTCTCTCTCTCAATAGCACACCAAACAAGCCCAAGAATGAAGACCAGACGTGGTCTTCAAGGACAGGGACCGTCCCCGCTGGACTCACACATTTACTAAGCAGGAGGCAGCCATCTTGAGCCTTACCCAGGTACCTCTGGGTGCAAGACCTGCTACAAGCCCCGCCCTCCGGGTTCCGGCCCACGGAGGCCTTGACAACCCGCCCCGCCCAAGTGCTTCCGGATTGCCCGCCGGAAGTTTTGAAACGCCAGGAGAGTTGAGTTCTGCGCTTCGTCGCTGTCTAGGACGCCACAAGACTGTAATTTCAAGACAATTCACCCTTTCTGGTTCCTTTGGCGTCCCTCAACTGTGAGGGAAATGAAGGTCCAGAACTTGGAACCCGGAGTGTTCAAAGACTCTGTGCCTCACACCGGTCTTGCGCTGTAGCTGTTTTTATTACCCCCCCGTTTTACTACAGGGAAGGAAATCTGAGGCCCAGCGGGTGAAGTGACTTGCTGGACGTCACTGCGCGGAGATGAAACCCGGATTGGAGCCCATGCCTTCTAACTCCCAGCTGGGACGGCCTCCTGTCCTGGGGATGACCGAGTTCACTATTGCAGGGGCACTACCACTGCCCATCTAGGGACGCGACATCTCGGGCGGGCCCTACTAAGTCCTTCTCCCAGCCGACTGGGGCGAAGGGAGAACCCTGTGGGGAAAGAACCGACAGGCGAGTGGGCGCCGGAAGGTGGGCGGGAGCCTGAATCTTGCCCCGGCCCCTGGCGGCGCGGCCCCGGCGCTCTGGCTCTTGCGCCGTGACTGGCCGGCCTCTCCAGCGAGCGTCGCGATTGGTCCCCTTGCGGCCGTTGAGATTTGAACTCCGTATTTGTGGCTTCGCCCGCGCGGCGCTTGGCTCAGAGGCGGGCCTTTGCCTCCGCCTGCCGGTGATTGGTCAGTTTCCCCGCCGACTTGAAAATTGCCTCGCTGATTGGTGCGTATTGTGCACTCGTGTTTTTACCTTCCATTTCAGCCCGACTTCCAGAGTCCGAATAGCGACGGGTGAGGTCCCCAGGTAAGGTGTGGTGTTAATAGGGAGCAGGCCTTGAAAGACTGGGAAAATGGGATACGGGGTAGTATGACGCAGTAGCCGGCAATATACAATAGGCAGGGAGGTCTAATAGTATCCTTGGGGCGCGATGTGGTACAATGGTAAGTCTGACAGATCCGCAACGGAGTGTGTTAAGCTTAACCTTTCCTAGCTTCAATTGCTTCATCTGTAAATTGGGTTGTATTATTATGCACTCCATGGTATTGAGATTAGGAGATTTAGACTGTATATGACATATTCAAATAGCCTAACAGAACCTGGCACAAAATAAACAAATAACCGGTGTTCATGCTCTTCCCATCCTTGTGCAGAAAACCCACTAGCCTTTGCAGGGGCAGTGTGCTGGCCTCAGGTGAGACCAGACCATTCTCTCTATACTTAAGGGGCTTTGCACATAAAAATGGAAATAGTAATGCTAACTTTACACATTGCTATGCAAATTACAGTTTTTTAAACACCTTTATACCTCTTAATTCATTTGATCATCAGAGAAACTTTATGAAGTAATCAGAGATGAGTAACCCTGTTTTATAGATAAGGCCCAGGGAGTTCAGAGACACGACCAAGTGGCAGAGTCACTACTAGAACTGGATTCTAGTCCAAGGTTGATCTCATATCCTTTAAGATAATGTTATCAGCTTGCTGTAAAACTAAAAATCTTTATATATTGGAGGTGGGAAAAATAATATAACCAGATAAAAAGACAAGTCTTGGATATAGACCCTGACCTTTTCACTGTTCGGTTTCCAGCCCTGTGAGCCAGTGAGAGAAGGATGTCTCCCCTGTGTGAGTTCCATCTCCCCTTATCCCCAGAGGAGTTGCTGAAAAGTGGAGGGGTGAATCAGTATGTTGTGCAAGAGGTACTGTCCATTAGACATCTACCTGCACAGCTTAGAGGTAAGACTCATTGCTGCCATTGTACCTAGCACTTCCGAACAACCATCCCATATGTATTAATAATTACTACATTGTCATTTCTCTTGCACTATACCATGAAGTTCCATGAGGAAAGTGTCTCCAACAGTCTTGGTGTACATAGTTACTGTTTGGGGAAATATTCTAGATCTTTACCCTTAACCATATATCAGAATAAAGTCCTGGTGTATTTAAGAGTTAGAGGAGAAGGCTGGGTATGGTAGCTCACACTTGTAATCCCACCACTTTGGGAGGCTGTATTGGGAAGATCACTTGACGCTAGGAGTTCAAGACTAGCTTGGGCAACATAGCAAGACTCTTTCTCTGCAAAAAATAATAAAAATTAGCTGGGTGTGGTGGTGCATACCTATAATCCCAACAACTCGGGAAGCTGAGGGGGAAGGATTGCTTGAGCCCAGGAGTTCAAGATTACATTGAACTATGATCATGCCACTGTACTTCAGCCTAGGTGACAGATCCTCAGGGATTTAACCTGATCTGTTTTAGGTAACACTTTTTTTTTTTTTAGACAGAGTCTCACTCTGTTGCCTAGGCTAGAGTGCTGTGGCATCAGCCTAGCTCACAGCAACCTCAAATTCCTGGGCTCAAGCAATCCTCCTGCCTCAGCCTCCTGAGTAGCTGGGAATGCAGGTGTGCCCCACCACGCCCAGCTAATTTTTTCTATTTTTAGTAGAGATGGGGTCTCACTCATACTGAGACTGGTCTTGAACTCCAGACCTCAAGTGATTCTCCCGCCTTGGCCTCCCAGAGTGCTAGGATTACAGGTGTGAGACACTGCACCCGGCCTAGGTAACACTTCTTTAGAGTCTAGATATCTTGCTTCCAAGATGTTCAATAATGAAAAAAATATATATGTACCACTGCAACACTGTTACAATATATGTACAGTGCAATTACCTACTGAAACCTGTAAATGACCAAAGATAACTTATACTTTACCAAGAAGACCGCATAATGTCACTGTACTTGTTGGAAGTGGTCTAGTATCAGTTAAATTGCTTTGGAGAGGTAGGAAGAATAAAGATTCTGGAGCCAGGTTGCCTGGATTTGAATCCTGGCTCTACCACTCTGACCTTGGACAACTTAATTCCCTCTGTGCCTCAGTTTCCTTGTCTATAAAGATAGGGATGATGATCATGGACTTCATTTATTATCTCCCGCAAGAAGAAGGGTTGGATAATACAGCAGGATGATAATATGGCCCCAGCTTGCCTCTTCTTGGCCTTTCCCTCTTGATTGCTAGGTGATGGTTTCTTGCGCTGATACTCAGGGAAAAATGAATTTTCTATCTTGTGCTTTTTCTTCTTTTTTAAAAATTTTATCCAAAACTTCTCAACAGACTTAGCCAGAATTAAATCATGTGCCTATTTCTCTAACTAATTATAGTCTTGCATCATTTAACAAGGATACGTTCTGAGAAATGTGTCTGAGAAATGTATTGTTAGGCAATTTTGGTCATGCAGACATCACAGAGTGTACTTACACAAACATAGATGGTAGTGCCTACTATACACCTAGGTTATGTGATACAGCCTGTCGCTTCTAGGCGACAAACCTGTACATCATATTACTATACTGAATATCATAGGCAGTTGTAACAATGGTACAATGGTAAGTATTTGTGTATCTAAACATAGAAAAGGTACGGTAAAAATACAGTATAAAAGATTTTAAAAATGTTACGCCTGTATAGGACATTTACCATGAGTTGGGCTTGCAGGATTGGAAGTTGCTGGGGGTGAGTCAGTGAGTGCAAAATGAACGCAAAGGCCCCTAGCACATTACTGTACACTTAGGCTATACTAAATTTATTTATTTTTATTTTTTTTTCTAAATTTATTTTTAAAAATTTTCTTTGTGCAATAATAAATTAACCTTAGCTTGCTGTAACTTTTTTACTTTTTCATTTTTTTTTAACTTTTTGACACTTTTGGTTTAACTTAAAACACAAACACATTATACAGCTATACAAAAATATTTTTTCTTTTTAGCCTTATTTTATAAGTTTTTTTTCACCTTTTTTTCATTTTTAAAACGAATACACAAACACACACATTAGGCTAGGCCTACATAGGGTCAGGATCATCAAGAGATCACTAAGCGATAGGAATTTTTCAGCTCCATTATATTCTTAAGGGACTGGTTTTGTCCATTGCTGTCCAGTGCTGTCCATATTTGACCAAAATGTTGTTATACAGCACATGACTATACTGGTAAGCAAAGTGGAATTACCTCAATGGGCTAAACTGATAGAGATTATTACCTAGGAGCCTCCCTAAACCTGAACATGTTACTATTTGAGAAGCAAGCAAGAAGGCTCAGTGTGGAAGTCAGCTGATAGATGGCCAACCAATAATGTCCATAGATGTACTATTCTGTCAATATTGTGTGGATATATGCATCACCAATTGCACATACTATAATATATACTGTAACAAATTGTTCTTTAATTATTACAGTGCATCATTTTTAAAATGGTCACTCTTCCTTAAGAGTTCTTTTTAAAACAATTGCCTTGCTTTGATGATTTTTGTGTTTAGAACCCTAAATACAAGTTCTATAAATACATAAGATCAAATCATTTAATTCATTCAACAGGTATTTACTAATCATTTACTATGTGCCAGGCACTGTTCTAAGCACTGTTTACAATAGTAAACAAAACAGAGTTCTTTCTCTCAAGGCTCTCAGCAAGTAATAAACTAGTAAATGTGGAGTACAGTAGTCCCCCTTATCCAAGGAGGATATGTTCTAAGGCCCCCAGTGGATACCTAAAACTGAATAGTACTGAATCCCATATATACTATATTTTTTTCTATATCTACATACCTATGATAAAGTTTAATTTACAAATTAGGTACAGTAAGAAATTAACAATAATAATAATAAAATAGAACAATTATAACTGTATGCAGCATCACTACTCTTATGCTTTGGGACCATTATTAAGTAAGATAAGGGTTAGTTGAACACAAGCCCAGTGACAGTAGATCTGATAACCAAGACAGCTACTAAGTAACTAACACACATATACAGCATGGATATGTTGGACAAAGGGATAATTCACATCCTGGGCAGGAAGGAGCCGGACAGTGTAAGGTTTCATCATGCT